TGTTTTATGTGGTTAATTTCTTCATTTATGTAGTCAGTTGAACAGAGTATTTTTTCATTACCCATTCAAGCCGTCTCCAGCCAAAGTTTATTATAGTTTTTATAAGCTTCCATCGTATTGTACCAATTAACATACTTGAAAATAATTACAGAAAAGAAGCATTTGTCAATTTTTTCTACAAATTCTAACAGTAAAATAAGTATTTTAAATTTACAGTATAATACTAGTAGTATTGTTTACTTTTATACAGGTTCTTACAGCGACAGTGCTGGTGTGGAGGTGATAAGGAAACATGTGGCTCAGTACATTGAGAGGCGTGATGGTATACCTTCAGATTATCTTAACTGTATTTTGTCTACAGGGGCCAGTGAAGCTGTTAGGGTCTGTATTTGAAAAATATTCTTTTATCTAAAGGATTTTGAGCTTGATGACAGAAAAAAACAAAAATATGGTTATTATTACTGAAATGAACAGATAAACATGTGGACCTAATAATGCAGAATAAAGATGAAATTACTGTAAAGGACAGTTAAAGTTGGTTACCTGATAATAAAATTAAATTGTTAAAACTATTATAAGGGAAAAAAATTAATGATCTGATAATGTAAAGAAATAGTTGGCATTTGGTGTAAAGGAATTAGAAAGTTGATGACTTTGTTTTATGATTTTCTGTTTCTTTTATGTATAGAAAATTAATATATAGTTTAATTAGTATCTTTCTAACTTATGATAGATTTTGTAAAATATAATTTTTGCAAGGATCTGCTTTCAACATTTTTGTATCTATACAGAAAAAGCAGGTTTTTCCTACATAATCCTGAAACCTTGTTTTATTGGTTACTTCATTCTAATACAAATACTTAGTGAAGAACATTCATTTTAATAATTATGCCTTGTGAAGTAATTATTTTTTTGTTTAGAACATTTTGGTAAATTTTTCTATAAACACCATCAAAAAATTATAAATATTAGTTTATGTACTGGTATTTATTGGTTCTAAGTATTTCTGAAACTTAAAACTCATAATTCACTATTTTCCAAAACAAGTAACTTTTTCCAGTTACTCAGCCAAGAAAAATTGCTAGACTAATAGATTTGGTTGTGTGAAAATTTTTTTGATTTCATTTTAAAATACTTAATTTACTAGGAGGAGATTCTGGTTGGAGGTTTAGCTTAGTGACACTTTAATTAAATGATTTTACGATCTGATATCCATTTGTATTTTACATAAACTAAGTTTATCTAGCAACACTTATCCATCATAGCTAATGAAGAGGAGAAAAGGGCTAAGATTAAATATAAAACCTTTTAGTTGCCCAAATATTATGTGCTGAAATATTTGTTAGGTACTACTAATGTACAGTTTTGTGAGATGACTAAACACATCAAGTTTCTAGATAAGTAATAAAGTAGAGTGTAATGGGTCCACATACATCTTCTAACGAAGATGATGACATTACTTAATAAACTGTTTAAAAATCTCCATGATTTCATTTATCATGCAGATCATTCTCTTGTAATTAATTTAACAAGTCACTGTGTTTTTTAGTAGTTATTTTTTTTATTTTTAATTAAATTAAGAAACAGTACTGCAGCAATCAAAGCCATGGAATTTTAATATTCATGATAAAAATTGCACTGTGTGTTTACCTCTTAATTAATACATTACAGATTTTACACACCTCTAATTCCAAATCTATAGTGGAAGGATTTGAAATCAAAGTCATGTAAAATCTGTAATGTACTGAATACAAAAGAATCTAAAAAAACAGCCACAGTATAATATCTAATCCTGAATATTAGACCTTTTACTGTGTTACCAGCTATCAGCATTTAGCACTATACATTTTGTTTAAAAGATTTTTCTTTTATTGAATGAGTTTTTAAAATAATATACATTTTTTTCTGTAGTGCACTGGTATAGATGTAGATAGGTTATGGGTATGAAGTAATGATGGAAGAATATACTTTTGTGGCATAAAATATTCATGATTAAACTCTCTTTTTTTTTAAATTTACAGTCTGTTATTAGCATTCTGAATCATTCAAAAAGTGGTAAGCCACCTGGTGTTATGATTCCAATTCCTCAGTATCCTCTGTACTCAGCAACACTAGCTGAATATGACATGTATCAGGTAAGATTTGCACCACTGAGAATAATGATTCTCATTCCTCAGTACTCGGAAACACTAGCTGAATATAATATATAGCAGGTAAGATTTGCAACTCCAATTCCTCAGGTACCTGTATCAGGTAAGATTTGCACCATTAGGTGTAATGATTCTAATTCCTCGATATCCTCTATACTCAGCAACACTAGCTAAACATAATATGTATCAGGTAAGATTTGCACCACCTGGTGTAATAATGTCCTAGTAGTAAGTGTCCTAGTAGTCTACTACTGTAGGTGAATATTGTGTTTGTAATATAAGAATTGAATTACCATGTATCATGATTTCTATCATCTGAGAGTAAATGATGGTTAAAAGTTAAATATTTTAGTGATAGAAGTTTTTACAGATTTTCACAATAAATCAGTAATCTTGTTGTTAAACTACTTTTAGTAAACTAAGTAATTGTGCATCATCGATTAATCATATTGAGGTAAACAATTGATCATGTACTCTTGATCAAGTGCTATATTATCAGACATTTTGTTTTATTCAAGAAATCAACATTTCTAATATTGCTTTTCAAATTGCTTTCATTAGGTTAATTACTATCTTGATGAACAAAATGAATGGGCACTAGACATCAGTGAGTTAAAACGAGCAATAAAAGAATCGCGAAGCCATTGTGAACCTCGAGGTCTTGTTGTAATCAATCCTGGAAACCCAACGGGTAGGTAGAGATGAAATATCATTGTGATTCTTGTTGTATTATTAGAGACAAGTATCTCTCACTTATTAACTGTCCCACCATGGGCTTAGTCAATTCAACCTAAAAATTGTTCCCAAATTGATCTATGGAATTTCCATACTATAACTTCTAATATGTTTTGTGTATCTTTGTGAAATGTCACATACTTTCAGTAAGCATTAAGTCATTTGTAGACAAAAAAATCTGAATTTTTCATGAAGTATTTTCACTGAAAATTTCTCAATGCATATAAGGCGTCAAAGTGTTGACTGCTCTGAGTGCAAACTGATTTTCATGTTGAGGTTAAAAATACTTTTGTTCATCTGAAAAATCTCAAATTTCATTTGCATAATCTCTAAACCCTTCTAAATAAAATTTCAAACTTTTTTGTCAGTAAAACCTTATATTTTATCTGTTATTTTCTCTACTCTTAACTCTATATGAGGTTGGACAATTTGACCAACCTCGTAACCATCAACAAAAATTTAAAGAAATCTAAATTACACTTTTTTTTTGTTTCCAGAATAACTTCAGATTGTAACATGAAACTACATTTCTTTATCCTAAATAACTAAACTTGTAACAGTATACATTTATTTTGCTGTTCTTTAAACAGTGTCCAATTGATATGCCTGCCATAAAATTAGTAAATCACTTGGCGAATTTGCAGCTTGTGTTACCCTGTCAAATTACCATATGGGCTACTCATGATTTTCTCAAGAGTGTGCATCATGAAAATTTTTTGTTGCAATTTTTTTTACTTTTTTCCTAATCTAACCTAAAAAGTTTCTAATTTTTACATTTTAATGTTTTTTTTATAATAATAAGTAAAGAATACACATGAAAAACAAGAAATATAATACTTACCTTGATTGTCTTTTTTCTTACAGTTGATGAAACTTAAGCCTACTTTTTTATACTAATGGTACTATTGCACTAATAATTTTTATTTAATTAAATAATGCATCAAAGAAGACAGAATAATAACATGCCAAAAATAGACAGGTTCCTATAGCTCTCACAATTTTTCTGGCTTTCTAACTGTGCAAAAAGAGACATTCAAAATTCAGCTAATCTTGTAGATGTGTTTCTAGCAGGAATAAAGTTTGAATTGGAAGCAAAACAGAAAATTTTCTGTAAAGAAAACAACACAATATAATATATCATTTGATAAATTAAAACTTTGGCACTGGTTATAAATAATATAATATTAAATGTCAGAGAGAACTAGTAGCAATTGCTGAAAGAGAGGATGTGACAGATTTGGTTTTCCATGTTATTGCTCTGTAAGTAAATAAGATTAAAAGCTATAAAAATTACTCTGCCTGAGTGATGACAGTACTATAATGAGTAATTTACGTTAAATTTCCTATATCTTGGAGGGGTGTTAAACAAATAAGAGAAGAGGGGATACCTAGAGAGAAAAGGTCACAATTTTCATACTAGGGAAAATTCTGAATTTTTTTTTAATATTGCCTTATAAAAAATTTGGAGTATTATCTTTGTTTTTATGCCAAATTTATTTGTATACCTTGATAAAAAAAAAGGAGTTTAATTAAAATTTGAATGTCATTCAGAAAAACCTAGTGACATACACAAAGAAGGATGTCTGTAGCAAGAGGGTTAAGGAAAGAAGAAACTTGGAATCCATTTAAGTTTGTTTTATATTCTGTTTTTGGTAGTGTTTATTCCTAAATGCTGCTAAAAGGATTTGATTTCAAAATAAGTTGGAAAAATTTGTAAATTCAATTGCTTATTTTTTCAGTGTTTTATATTTCAGCTGACAAAAGTTAGGTAATTTGTGAAATTATGTGAAAATTCTTATAACTCCTAGCAAAAGACTGCTTGTTTACATCCTAATTGAAAAATGGGATATTTTAATTTCCTTCTCCCTCTCCCTAAGGCTGATTGGTGAAATTGTATGCATGTAATAAACAAAGCAACTTTTATATTACATCAAGCATTAGATTGTACAGTTTTACCACTGAACAAACAATATGTGAGTGCATCACCACACTGAGATGAAGATAAAACAAAATTAACATTTTCTAAACATTATATCTGTTTTTACAAGTGAAATTTAGAAGAAAACAAAGGTTTTTATCTGATTCTGCATGCACAGGATATATGGATTGCATCTTCTTTACCACTGGGTGTTTGAAGAGACAAGACAATACCTGTAACAAATATAGAATAAAAATGGGAATTGTTATCAAATTACAATAATTAAGGTAATAGATTAAGCTAATAATATCATAAATATATCATATGAAGGTGAAGATTAGTTGTTTTCTCACAGTGTATTTGCCATGGAGTTCCTTTTCTTCTCTATATGGATTGTAAATTGTTAATGTTTATTAGTGAGAGGCCTGTCTTGCTCTTATGTCTTCAAATAAAAATGTAAAGGTAATAAACTAATTTTATTGCATCCCTTGCTTACTTGTTTATTCTGTTTAAGTAATTACTTTGGCAGTTGTTTTTCACTTTACAAATACTTTTATTATTAGTTTAAAATTATGGAGTCTTACAAAGGCATTTGCCCTGGCACAGGCTTAGAGATTAGCATGGGTGGTCTTTTTGAACATACTTTCTAAAAGGAGTACAGAAGTAACTTTTGTAAATGAAGTAAGATAAATATTATCTAATGATATATAAAATATTGCTAAATTTTTTCAACAGAGTGGACTTATCACATGATGTCATTAGTCCCTTGGTTGAATTATTACTAATAAGTAGGCCATATACTGGAGTCTCTATAGATGTGGGTGAAATCTGGCTTTTATTTAGGTCAGCAGTTGTGGGCATATTGTTTAATGGCACAGCTTATAGCTATGTAGCATTGTGATTTTAAATTTTTTATAAGTTTTAAATCCATCAAAAATTTAACTTAGGATCAGAAATAATCAGTGGTTATCATGCTTTATGTTTGAAGTGTGTGGTTTGGTGATGTTTATGCATTATTATCTTTTATGAGTGCAAATGCAGTAATGACCAGTTATGGGTTCAGTCATTATAACTGACCTTGCAACACCAAGTAACCTTGAAAGTATATATTCTATAACTTATGATGTAGTAAGTGTATCTTTTCAAAATCTGGCCAGCTTTTAGTAAATGTTACAAATCTTTTTGTACTTAATATCAAATATTTTAATTAGTATTTTTACTAAGATTTGTCTTTGAATTTACTTTAATCAGTCTGAGTGTCAAGTGATTTTCATGTTAAGAATAAAAAGACTTTTTTTATCTTATAGTTTTCAAATTTCATGTGCACAACCTATAGAACCTCCTAATTGAATCTTTTTTTTTGCTTTCAGTAAAATGTAGTTTGTTTGCTATTTTTCTCTACCATAACACTGTACAGATTCCTTCCATTTAACTGACCTTATAACCACCACACAAAAATATAAAGTAAATCTAAATTACCTATTTCCTTTCTAGATGACTACAGATTGCAACAGAAAATTACAATTATTTATTCTGAACAACCTCAGGCGTGTAACAGTTTGCATTTGTTTCGGTTTATTTTTATTGTTCTTTGAAGTGCGTCTAGTTACTAAATTTGCATAATAAACTGTAAAAAACATGGCAAACGCATAGCCTAACTTATGATACTGAATTATATAATCCTTATGCAGCTCATGTGCAGAACTTGCTGGCAAATTTTTCATTTAACTGTTTTCATTCAGGTTTTCTTATCTAACATAATAAGTTTCTAAGTTTTACATTGTAGTTACTTTTATAACAATGAATATAGAATTTACATAAAAAACAAGAAATTTAACACTTGTGTCTGATCTCTTGCTTTTTTTGCTCTCAGCCCCTGACAAGACTTAATCCTATTTAATGATGCTAATAGTACATAAAATAATGTTCATTTATTTCAGACTTGCATTTAAATGCACAAAATAATAGCATTTACTAAGCATACCATGAGTTTCTGTTATATGCTATTTTTTAAATGTATGTTATTTAATGCTTATTCTGTTATGTATTATTAAATTGTGTTAAAGGATGAGAAGTGGTTAAAGACATATTTTCTTGGAACAAATGCTCATGAGAGTTACCATGTAGAAACAAATGCACATGAATTTTACTGTGTAGGGACGAATGCTAATTAGTGTTATGTTGTGGAAAAGACTCGTGAGGGTTACTGTGTAGATCAAATATCATGAGGGATTGACTACCTTTTGGGAACAAACACTCATGAGTGTTACCTTGTAGGAACAGACATTAGTGAGCATGAGCATCTGCAGAATTTTATTCCAGGTGGGGCAAGTCATCATTTGCCTTGGAAGTTTGAATATGATGCTCTGGCCAGTTATGACTTATTTATGTAAACCTAATTTTGTCATTTATATTTAAACAGTATTATTTAATACATTTTTAAAATAAATCATTCAAATATATTTTTTTCTGAAATTCAGGGGGGGAGTGAGGTGTGCCCCCTTGTTCCATCCTGCAGATGCATGTATAGTGAGGGGTACATTATAGTAACAGATATTTATCAGGGTTACCTTGTCTTAACATACTTATGGGAGTTACCATGTGGAACAAATACTCATGATTGTTAACTTGTCCTAACATACTTATGGGGGGTTACCATGTGGAACGAATACTCATGATTGTTACCTTGTCATAACGTACTTATAGGGTTAATTTGTGGAACGAATACTTGTGATTGTTACCTTGTCATAACGTACTTATGGGGGGTTACCATGTGGAATGAATATTCGTGATTGTTACCTTGTCATAACATACTTATGGGGGTTAACATGTGGAACGAATACTCATGATTGTTACCTTGTAGGAAAAAACACCACTGAGGGTTACCTTGTGGAAAAAGATGCTCATGAGTAATATATTGTACGAACGAACCCTCATAAAGGGTAACTTTTGGCAAACAGAAATACTCATAAGGGGTAGCCTTGTGGGGACTAAAACTTGTGAGAGAATTTTCTGCTCCTGTTTTATAGTGATTGAAAAATATGAAAGTTATTTTTTCTTTTTATTGTCCAGAAAACACTTAAAACAAATTACTAGTCTTTTTACAAAAACTTTATTAACAAGGGAAACAATAAAAGAAAAAAAGAAAGTTATAAATATTTTTTTTATTCTTAGGATCTGTGCTTACACGAGAAAACATTGAAAACATTATTAAATTTGCTCATGAAGAAAAACTTTTCCTAATGGCTGATGAGGTAAGCTCTTACAAGTATGGTATGTTTTTTAACCCTTTGGACATGGACTTGTGTATTTTACATGATTTTGTAACCATTTTGAAACCGTGAAGGTATATATGCAATAACTTTGAAATTACTTAACATATCTTTATAAAATTTGACAAGCTTTTAATAAACATCACAAGTCTTTTGTACATAAAAAATAAAAAAATTTTAAGTATTTATATTAAAGATTTGTCTATGAATATATGGAGTCAGACTATTGATGAAAAATGATTTTCTTCATCTAAAAATTTTCAACTTTTGTATGTGTAACCTCTAAAGCCTTATAAATATCAGACTTTTTTTATTCAGAAAAATTTTATATTTTATTTTCTCTAATTCTGTATGGACTCATCTGATTTGATTGACCTTGTAACCACCACAAAAAAATAGGAAGTAAATCTAAGTTAGCCTTTTTTTATCTTGAATGATTGCAGATTTTAACAGAAAACTATAAGTGTTTGCCCTTAATGCCTAAAATATACCCATGATACAAGCTTTATATCACTCAACAAACGTGTAGATCAAATTATTGCATTGAATAACCTAATCCATGAGCTATTCGCAATACATGCCTTATGGAGAAATTTTTGTTTATTATCTTACTTAATGTAATCTAATAATTTCTAAATTATATACTTTAGTTACTTTTATAACAATAAATAGAAAATATACATAAAAATACAAGAAATTTAGTACTTACCTCTGACATCTTGTTTTTTGCTGTTGGCCTACAGATGAAATTTAAGCCTACTTTTTTGTAATGATGATAATTGTTTCGGATAATTTTGCTTATTTGAAAAGTACAATTAAGAAAATAGAATAATATCATGCACAGAGCAAAGAATGTCCTGTAAGTCAGTATAATTTGGCAATAGATACTTTCAATCTAAAATTGAAATAACTAAAAATCTGGGCTGAAACCAACATAGCATTGTATGCCATTTGGTAAATGAAAACATTACCTTTTTATTGGTTATAAACGAACCAATAAAAAAATGTAAGAGAGAATTATTAGCAATTTGTGAAAAAGAGATTGTGACAGGTGGGCATGTCAAGTGGATCTTACTCTCTAGTTTATGTCTCCATAAACAAAAAACAGTGAAGGTTATAAAAATTAGAATTTGCCTTAGTAATGTCTATGCTATAATGACCAAGTTACATTAAACTCAAGACATTAAAGAAGAGTAATGGAAAAATATATGATGGTTAAAGATGGTGCTAACAAATGTCACAATTTTCATACAAGGGAAGATTAAGGATTTATTTAAATACTTCCTTTCAAAATTAAGAAATGAAAACTTATAATACTAAAATTTGCCTTATTAACAATATTTCAATGCCAAGTTTATTCATATAAGTTGATAATAAAGGAGTTTAATTAAATTCTAAATATAATTGTAAAAGGTCATGACATGCACACCTTGAACTACGTGTAGATAGAATGTTAATAACTTGATAAGTTCTTACAAGTATGATATATTTCTTAGTTACTACTAGTCATGAACCTAATGGCTGATGAAGTAAATTGTTATAAGTATATATATTTATTAACTCTCTTAACATGGGCTTGGTCAATCTGACTGACCACATGACCTCTTTGTACTCCTTTAAAGTCTTTATAGATTTAAAATTTCTAACTTTCAATATAATGTGTATATCTTCACAAAATTTAGCAGTTTTTGGTTAATATTATAAGTCTTTCTCATACAAAAAATCATATTTTTAGTGAAG